TTTTTTTTTTTTTTTTTTTTTTTTTTTTTTATTAACATACCATTATCGTGTCCGGGTGGATTATGTCGTCGTCGACTGTCTAGTAGTCCAGGCGGCAACACTGGTTTCCGAAGGTTTTTCGATAACGAGTTGATAATTTTTACCGTGGAACGATACACAGTAGTTATTTTGTATTTTGATATTCTAGTGTTGAAAAGTGTTGCTAATTTTCACTTCAATCGACGCGTCGATCGGTTTCTGATGCGTCCCCGTCCATCAGACGTTGCAAGACTGCCCGCAGCGATCTAGCTGACACAAACCGTGTACATATTAACCAGCCGACTTCCTATTTTGTGTGTTCAACTACTATTGTTAATTTGTTTTGTTTTAAAAAATTTTTTTAATTTTTAATCGCTTACAATATAACTCTAATGTTACCAAAACCGGTCTGTGGCGTTTCGACATGGACGAGATATCGTTGCTGAAGAAACGCACTTCAACCGAAACCCACAACATGACTCGCAACGAGGACTCCACTCAGCCAACGTCCAAGATTAAGCGGTCTTTCTCCCTAAAGCGTGACCTCATACGTAACAAACACGTTAAGCCAGGGGATGTAGACGAGGCTAGGCTGAAACTGTCTATGCTGAGGAAACCGTCATCATGGAACAAAGTACTTGGGAAGATGTTACATAAATTATCTTATCTTGGCATACAGCAGGACAAGGGTAATTTGTGTTCCAAATATGATGCTTATGTTTCCCGATCGTCGACAGACATCTACCACGATAACTCCTATCAAACTCCAAAGATTTTAAGTGGCGACAAGGTTCCGGGTGTGGTTGGTCTACGAAACCAGGGTAATACATGCTTTATAAATGCTGTATTGCAGTGCTTAAGTCATACAGATGTTCTAGCCAGGTAATTACGTTTTGATTATTCTTAAGTAGGCATATGTCTAAATCTTTTATATGATTTTTAATAGTTATGTATTTTCATATATTTAGGGTTTTTTTTTTTTTAATTTAGTGAAATTTATTTTTAAAGTTTATAATAAATAGTTTTTTATTTTATTATAGTTCTTAAAGTCTATTAGTCCTTATAAGTATATTTCAATAATTTTTATTGATGTATTCCAATATTTAGTAAATAATTGAAAAATATTTATTTTTACTTTAACAAATAATTATTTAAGCTAACATAATGTAAAAAACAATCCCTTTAAATTTCAAAAACTTTTTTAAATTATATGATCTATTAGTTAACTGTAAAAATTATTAATGCCTCTCTGAATCTCATTATAATGCTAAATATAGGTCTTAACTAACATTATGAAAATTATCAAATAGATTTTTTTTTTATTGGCATTTAAAGTTCAAAAAGCAATGAATTTCTATATTTTTTTTTTTTTTTAACTTTACTTTAAAATCACCGTTAAAATTATAAACTAGCCTAGTCCATTTATAATACTTAATATTAATAATAGCTTTAAACCCCAATAGGTCCACAGCGCTTATAATTATAAACTTAACCCATTTGGTATTTGAAATTGAAATATAATCTTGTCCATATTTATAAACATACTTTTGTCTTATGATTTATTATAATAATAACTATATTTAGTTTAAAATTAATTTAATTTAATTAAAATAAAAAAATCTAACATTGGAATTTCAAGTTTAATTCTGTAAATTATTTTCTTAACAATATAAATACTGAATAGAATGTATAATTAGCATATTTGATAATACTGCTGAAATTCCATCATATTTTTAATAATATATAAATAATATACAAGTAAGAAACTTGTTTTATACTATTATTTGTTGTTGAATATAAAATTATGTTTTGTGTAGAAAATGTACGTTATCATGTAATTTTTTGAATTTAACAAAAGAATCATAAACATAAGTCATAATGTGTTAATATATTATTTTTAACTAGAAACACTAAAATAAATTCTTGGTACTTGTTAATTTATTTGAAAATAAAATACCTTTGGAATGTATAACTTTTTATACATAATAAGTAATTGAAAATAAACTTATTTACAAATAGCTATTAATTTTTTTTAATTAGGTATTTTGTAATGGATCAATATAAAATGGACTTGATTCGAAGGAATAAGTTGAATTCAAAAAAGTTTGGTACACGTGGTGAGATGACTGAACAGCTGGCATTATTATTGAAATCCATATGGCTATGTAAATATGATCCAGACATGTCAAATCAATTTAAGTCAATTGTAGACAAATATGGTACTCAATATAGAGGCAATAATCAGCATGATGCACAAGAATTCTTATTATGGCTATTGGATAAGGTTCATGAAGATTTAAATACAGCCACAAAAAAAAAATATAAAACCATTAGAGTAAGTGATTTTATCTGTTTATTAAGATTTTTTTACTTATCATTTTATATTTCTTAGAATACCTTTGGAAGACCTGATGAACAAGTAGCTGCTGAAACACTTGCAAATCATGTACGCTGTAATGAATCTTTTATACATGATGTTTTTCAAGCACAATTTAAATCTTCTCTAACATGTCCGCGCTGTATGCGGCAGTCCAATACATTTGATCCATTTCTATGTATATCCATACCTGTACCACAATGTTATTCAATGCCTATTTTTGTTACTGTTATTTATACTTCACAACAGCCAAGAGATGTAAGTTGAACTAGGTTCTTGGTTTAAATCTTAGTTTAATTAAATACATTTTTACATTAACCTTAATTTCAGAATATTTGTAATTAACATTAATATGTCTATCATAATTTATTTTACAGGTTAAACTTGGATTGTCTCTTCCAGTAGATAGTAGTATAGCTGAATTTCGAGAGTTATTATGGTCATATACTGGTATTTATCAAGAACATATGTTAGTTACCGAAATAACTGATATTGGTTTCAATCGAACCTTTTGTGGTATACATATAACTAAAATAATTATATATAGTAATTGATTTAATAATACTGTTTTCTGATTAGATTCTATGCCGGCATCTATGATAAAAGAATCAGATTCTCTATACTGTTTGGAACTTCCAAAATTGAATGATTGCAGCAATGAGAGTGGACCTTACTTATTACTATGTTGGGTTAATATTCTTGTAGTTGAAGATCAGTGTTCAAGGTATTTGTCTTTAAACATTTATATTTGTATTTTTCTTCTACATTTTTGAATTCTTTTGTTTATCTGAAAGATTTGGAAGTGCCTTTACTATGCAAATATGCCGTGAAACATCTTATAAAGATCTTCAAAAACTTTTACTCAAAGAGATGGCTGTGATGTTACATGATGATATATTAACAACTGAACAAGATATACCATTGTTTGGAATAAGATTATCTGACGCAAGTGAAGTACCACAGTATTTAGATCCAACTGTAGAATTACCTCTATTTACTGATCCAATTGATCAAGCATTAGCTATGTCTGGTGATCAACCCCATGTTAAATTAATTCTTGAATGGAACCTCCATGCAAAAGAAGCGTAAGTATACAATATTAGTGCAATAGTATTATTAGTTTATTATTATTTAATCATAACTTATGAAGATATTATTAATACTTAACTTAATTTTTATTGTTTAGAACCATTGCTGATCATTGTGAAGAAATTGAAGAACATGCTAGTGTGAAACAACTAAAATTAAATTCTGAAAAAGAGACTTCTATTACACTTGAACAGTGTTTTGATGTAAGTTATAACTTATTTTTTTTTACAGCGCTACAGGTCAAAGTGATCCTTAGAATCCAAAAAATTCTCTTCTCCACTTGTTCCGATTTTTAGCAATACTTCTCTAGTTCCATATGCTCATCTGTTATAGATCCTTCTTTACTTTGTCTATCCATTTACCCTTAGGTCGTCCTTGTCTTCTGGTTCCTTCTATTCTTGCCAATATTATGCGTTATGGTATTCTTTCCACATGACCCAACCATCTGATACTGAATGACTTTTTAAATTTTACTATATTTTCGTTTTATAAAATCTGCTCTATTTCATTGCTGGTCTGTATCATCCATCTTTCCTCTTCATTCACTGCTCCATGTATTTTTCTTTCGAGTATCTTTAACCTGTTGGAGTATGCTTTTGACAGTGTCTAAGTTTCAGCTCCATAGCAGACTACAGGTCGAATAAGTTTTATTTTAAGCTTCATCTTAGTAGACAGCAGTTTTGATTTGAGATGTGTGATTTTGGCAAAGTATGCTCAGTCTTTTAATCCCCTCCAACATGTTATTACTGTTATTAAGGGAGAATCCAAGATACACAAACTCTTTTATACCCTCAAAACTATATTGATCTATCGTAATGTTCTGCACTCTACGGTAAGTCTCAATTGCAGATAGTCTCATATACTCAGTCTTCTCTTCGATAATTTTTAGACCTATCGTCTGTCCCTTATTTTCTATATTATGATAGACTTCTCACGTGGCATTCTTGTTTCTTGCAATTATTACTAAATTGTCTGCATAGGCGCATATATGCCATGTCTTGTTTTTAATGCTTCCTGTTTTAATCGTATCTATTACAGCCTTGTGTAAAACAATATTGAACGGTGTTGTTGATTAGGCGTCACCTTGTCTAACCCCTGAATCTATGTTAAATGAGTCGCTCATTGATTCTCCTATCTTTTGTTTATACTAAGTACATGTTATTTTTAATATTTAGTATTTTATTTAAAAATTCAATTATAATAAATGAAAGATTATTTATTCTTAATATTTATTTTTATATTTTATATAGAGTATAATGAATATGATACCTAATTTATTTTTAAAAATTATAGTTGTATACTAAAGAAGAGGTACTAGGACCAGAAAACGCGTGGCATTGTCCCCAGTGCAATCTTAAACAAGAAGTGGTAAAAAAACTTGGATTATGGACTTTACCTGATATTTTAGTAGTACATTTAAAACGATTTCGACAATCCCTTTCATTACCATCATCTCGTTCACACAATAGCAGGTATATAAATCACATTATCATATTATTCTTTAACTATTTGTCAATCTTTTTATTATTTGAAAATAATTTTTGTTTTTAATTTTTTTTTTTTTTTTACAGGCAACCGACAAAACTCTCTGTTCTTGTAGATTTTCCTTTATTTAGTTTTGATATGACCCCACATTTAGCTATAGGTCGGGACGTAAGGGTACCATTAAAGCCTCCAGCTTCTCGCCGATTGTCTTCTATACAGGATCATAACCTTTATGATCTATATGCTGTATGTAATCATCATGGATCAGATCCTCACAGTGGGCATTATACTGGTAAATAATAAATAATAAAAAAAATTATAATAAATTTACTAAAATTAATAAATACAATTATCACATTCTTTTTAGCATTTTGCAAAAACCCATACGATAAACAATGGTACAGCTTTGATGACACCAAAGTTACTCCAATACCTGATACTTCTCTGGTCACAACATCAGCATATATGTTGTTTTATCAAAGGCGTGATATGATTCTCAACAGCACTGATCATTGGGCTACACGGTTACACGCACACATATCAAATAGTCATTCTGTTGGGCAAATAGTTGATAAAATAGGTAACTGGAATTTTCAAATAAATTAATAACTTTTATTTAAACTGTTAATTTTTCATTAGTATCAGTTTTAATATGTTGTTTTAAAATTAATTAAAAATTGTATTTTTTTAATAAGATCTCATTAAATGTTTCCAATAAAAATAATAATGTAGTTTAAACCAAGTGTTCGTAACAATAACATATATTTTAATTATTTTACAATTTTAAAAACACTAAAATCATAAAAGTTTAACACACTTTAGAATTTTTTTTTTTTTTGCATTATATTACAAATAAATTAAATTACAAAATGTTAATTGTTAATTCATTGTTTAGAGCACAATAATGATGATATTGCAGAGTTAAGTGATTCACCATCCAGTCATACTATTTCTAGATCGTCAACTGTAGAAAACGATATGGTGTTTTCTAGATCTGTAAATATTTTTTTATTTTAAAGTTTACTAATTACTTAATAAGTATGTTAAAAATAATATTATTCAATTTATTTAGAACTCACCTATGGTTAATGGCAGAAGGCCATCTGACCTTGATCTTGATGATACAGACAAGAATTTCAAGAAACTTTTACACAATGCTAAAGAGTCATGTATTTAAAACTTAAGTTATATCATTGTTATATGGTTGTTATTTTTAAAAGAATTTCAAACCGCCTACCATGGAAAAATTATTAATTGTTTTTATAATGTTTAAGTTAGGTTTATATAAACAATTACAATAATATTTTGGCAAAAAGTAATTAATTTGCTCATAAAAAGGAACATTCCTTATACATTTTAACAGTATCCATACACTATTATAATATGGAAAACAAAATTTGTACTTAAGTATTCAGATTTTTATTGTTATTCTGAAGAAATTGAAAATATCTTAAAAATATTTCTATGTATGCTCAACAATATTTCCGAAAAAAGAAATGTTAATAAAATGTTTTTAAAAAATAAATGGTTATTTTATTTTTATTATTGCATTTATATTTTAATAAACAATTAACTTTGCCAGTATTCATTATTTTTATTTCATTGTGTGAAATGCTGCAGAATATATTATATAACTAAAACTTAAAACTAATATTAAGATTATTATTACAAAACTTACAATAAAATGATTAAACTCTTTGAGCTAAAAATTAAGACACTTTTATGGAAATAATTTTTCCTATTTAATATCCTACTTACCTTGTCAGTAAAAAATATAGATTTGTTAGCTTTACAATATTTCTAGACTGTATGTCAGGAATCTACATATAAGACACAACTTTTTAAAATATTGTAATAGTATGGTATTATCATAATTATATGTTATTTATTAAGATTTTTTTATGTTATAGTTTTCATAAAAATTGTTAATATTAAATTATCCTCCAATAGTGACAGATTATACTTTGAAAGTACCATTACTTTCATAATTACACACAATTGTGCATAAGTTACTTTGATGGTTAAAAACTATGTTGGTATTTGAATAATATTTAAATCAATATTTATAATATTTTTTTTTTAATTTTTAAAATCTACAGGCATTTTAAGTTCAAAATAAAATTAATTTTCACAAAATGTGCTAATTATACATTTATAGTTATTCATATTTTATGTTTCAGTATTCATTTGATTGTTAATGTATGACTATCATTATTTTTATACCTAACTATAAAACTTTAATGACGTATTCAATTTTTTTCATAAACTGTATATTTTATTGCCTAATAATTTTATCATTGTAATTTATTATACTATAATGGTTGTAAAGGAAATCTAAAATGTCTGGTCTTATATTAAATTATTTATAATTTTTATTGCCCACATATGCATAGGAAATAATTTTAATGATTGTAAAGTGTAAAATACTAAAAAAGGGCTTTGTGGATCAGAATTTTTCATATTTGTATTTGGTACTCGTGTAACCTATCACTACTACATAGGTGTAGTATGCTAACCTACCTTAAATGTTTTCTATTTTTTATACAAAATAACCTTATGAATAAACTTTACTGTGTATTTAATTATTTATTAATTAATTAATTATTTATCAGACTAAAACTTACTAAATGTATTGCTGTTGAGTGATGATCATCGTTTTTAAGTGTTTTATACATAATATTGTTAAGCGTTAGTATGAATTAATTTTATATCATTTATTTTAAATTATTTTTACATCATCCCAGAAAATATCTAATAAGTCGTGTTGCGTATTAATGGACCGTCACCATTCTTTTGTTTGACCATCATAGATATTGTCAGTATCACTTGATACATCGTCATCTACTTATATAATTATTCTCCAACAAAAACTTTTGAGAAGTAGAAAAATAAGTTTTTTTGGGGGATTTCAGCTATTCTGAAGAAGAAGACATAAAATTAAGTTAATTCTTTATTTATCTTATTTCTCTTATATTATCTCTTTATTTCTAATATCAATATGTGAGCTTTTTTTGAACTGGTCGGCTATAGTATTTTCTCCAAAATTTCATTAGGAACGAGGAACCGTTATTGTCTCGCAACATTTGCTTAAACTGTTTATTAAATGTTATTCTTGATCACAAGGACGCAAAAGATTACACTATTTAATTGAAAAAAATATTTTCCATAACTTGACTTTCAATAAATAACAATATAACACGATTACTACGACTATTTAATATGTTAATATATACCCAGTTACAACAAAAAGTTAAACAGTTTATTTTTTATTGTATTTTCCCTCATATTGCGTATAAGAATAATAAAATTATAATAATGTTATGTGCCGAATACCGATAACTTTGGACAGTTAAAAAGAAAAACTCATTAATTTAATTCATTTTTGAACTATTCAATCAAGGCTTTAGCGTTCATAAAGAAAATTATTTTATTTTATTATATTAAATACGGGCGAGGCCCGAAGTAGGGTTTTTATTTTATAAAAATTATAATTTAGGGGTTCCACATTTCGCGGAAGCGTACATACCATAGAGTAATTATTACATTATAGCACATTACCATGTTTGCCGTGAGTTATTAGATAGTTGACGAATTTTGTACATGTTAATGCGCTACCGGCATCGCCACATGCCGTCACATAATGGCCGCGTATCTGTTATTTTTTCTATACGACTTTTAATTATACGGGACGCTCTTCGCGACGTTCATCGACCTGACCGGTGGAAGTTCGTAAGTTTTTGGTGTTCGTAGCTATATAGCGGCTCGGCTGGCCCGTAATTGATTTCAAAATAATATAATTTATCACGTACGCTAAACGCCGTTTGTATTGTTTTATTTTTACATATATATATATATCATTATTGTACGCGCGCGAATCGCTGCAATTCGTATTTCTATTGTTATCGTCGCGATTATTATTGTTTTCGATGCGGGTGTGATTCATTAACCAGATCAAAGGTAGTGCAGCTGGCCAGTTTGCGTTCCACGATATTGTAAGTTTTTTTTGATACTTTTGTTTACCGAACCATGTTGTTTGGCCAGAAGAGCCGTTTATTATTATTGTTTAATTGAATGTTCAATATTGCTGTGAGTTATTAGTGTGTGTTATTTGATTTTCGCAATACAGCCACATAGTTTCCATCTTAATCACCATTGTTTTACCTATTAGTTCCTATTGTCCGCAGTCTTAAGTACACACAAAACGAGTACACATTTTGCCCACCGTTTACCCGTATAGCTCAACAGTCTTGCTAGGCGTTACCGAACGCTTCCGATTGAGCTATTCCATATCATTTTGCTACATAATTACATTACACACCACTAATCGGTCATTAAGCAAGACAAGTGAATACGCAAATCTTTGACCGGAATGAACGTAATGTAAATTCATGTACCCAGCGCAAACATTTAGTGTATTTTCAAATTCTTTCACAGGTACATTTTTTTCTCTTATCTTATGATCTTGAACTATAACTTTCTAGGTAGGTGTACACAGAAAAAAAATCATGATACGCTAAAAATATTCGCGTAAAATTGTATTGTTAAAAAAATAAATAAATAAAACTAGCGTTTTAAACAAAAATAAAAAAAAGAACCGTGTCATTAGGTAGGAAGTGATTACTTTTTGTATAGCAGTTTTATATTGGATCATGTATGGATCTAATTAAAATTTCGTTAAAAATGAATATATTTATTAGCTATGGATAGGGAAGGGCAATTTCCCCTCCATACCCCCTTTGCTCACCGTCACACACCTCAGTGTGTGCCTAGAAAATGGTGAACGTGTCTATTTTAATGAAAATTTTCTCCTCCAAAAACGACAAACGCCACTTTTTTTTATCTCTGCACAAGAGATTAATTTGCAAAACTTTTCTATATGTTGAGGTACCGATGTATTATACTTGGAATATAACAGGAAGAGAATGGAAACGCCGAATTTAAAAAAAAAAGATGACGGTGGAATTAGTTAATTGATACTTTTATTATTACGTCCAGAACGTTCTAAGGATTTTTACGGCCTGAGGCAAATGAATTTGGAGGCCCCTCAATCATCACAATAATATACGAGTATGATTAAAAAAATGTTGCAAAATTTTGGTAAATGTAGTTTTCCAAACCTCAACCAATTAGGGTAATTTAAATACGCCGAAATAATGAATCAAATTTTTAATAACTCCTCGACAATGTGTTATTAATTAACAAATTTAATAAAAATTAAATTTATTCTTAGATAATTTTTAAATAGTCATAGAAAACAATTGATACTTGCAATAATGCATTTTTACGTAAATTTGGATAAAACTATATTATTTTTCAAACTCCGGCGATAACCATAATAAATTACAGTTATAACTATTTAGAAATTAGAATAAATTAAAATGTATCTTGTATAATAAACCTTAAATATAAATTGAAGTTAGTTTTATTTGATTAAATTTATTACTTCCCCATGCCATGGCCATGATTACGTCGGTAATAATAAATTGCATTACAAAATCATTTAAAAACTTATAAGTATTATTTGCTCACTTTTAATTTTATGATAACTATTTTACTTATTACTTATATTATCTATTTTAATACCACCAAAAAATCTGACTTCCAAGAGAATTTCAATCAAATCACGGCAAGAAACATAGCCCAAAGAATCAGGACAAGAGAGAATCGTGCACAAGTATCGTTTGACATTTTCCGATGTAGGTATGTGATGTATTTTTGTTTGTTCATAGGAAAGAAATTTTAGTTGGTTAGTTTTAAATAATTGAAAACAACATTTACAATCAAACAAACTGTTATTAATACCTATTAATTTAAGGTAATCTACTGAAAATATTATAACTACATAGCAATTGGTTGTTGCACAAAAATAACTAATAAAAACTATATCAAATATAATCCAAGAAGTATATTTTTTATTCATACTTATAAATTCTCTAAACGTTCAACGTCGAGGTCTTGGATTGTACTAAACTAAAAAAATTAACTATCTATTATAATATATTATATGCTATTGATATCCTTCTGAAGACTAGGAATTAGTGATGGGCATGAGTAACTAATAACTACCGACTAAATCGGTTGTACTGAATAAATTTATTAGTCGGTTTATGACAAAAATATTATTTGACGAATAATTTAGTCGACTAATAAATAATTAGTCGAATAGCGAATAGTAAAATTAGTCGGTAGTATTTCTAAAACTGTAATTAATATTCGATAGTCCGAATTATTCGGTCGTGCTTATTATTAGTCGGTAGTATTTTTATAAGTACAACTAATATTCGACACTCCGAATCATTCGGTCATGTTTATTATTAGTCGAATAATTAATCGGTAGTATTTTTATAAGTATAACTAATAGTTGGTAGTCCAAATTATTCGGTTATGCCCATCACTTATAGGAATTATAAAAATTCTGGAATTGTATCAATTTTATGCAGTTTTGGCTTCATTACGTTGTAATAGTTGTTTTGACATCCGCATCAGTTCTGAAAATATAAAATTTAATTTAATTAATTATAGAATTAAATTACTACGTCAGAACATTTTTTGGATCTCCCCTCTCTCCCTAATGACAGTGTACGTCAGACATTGACTACCCCATATTCCTAAACATTCAATCATCAAAAAATAAGATAGTAATAAGATGGCATGTTTTCGATGTTGTCAATAATTCATTAACTTTTGTTTTTTTCGCGTGTTAATTTGAATTTCGATAAATATGATGTTAATATCAGATTTAAGATTTAGTCCTCTCTCCCCATGAAAGGTACTTTCAGATTTATTGAATCCTTTTCTTCTTCGGATTTGCTGACGTAATACTTGAATACTCCCTTATTATATATTAGAATATTATCCAAGTATTGTAAAGAGGATGAGATACCATAATTTGTTATCTCAACACATCATACGTGCAATATAATGATTATTTTTGTATGTAGGTACTCAATATAATTAGCCATGGCATGTATTCACGGGTCATCAATATTGTGATACGATAAAGATTTTGATAACGATTTTAATTGACCGGGAAGTCTAAAATAATCTCTCGGACATCTCCATCTGTTAGCTGCTCAATTTTTAAACGTATCTTAAAAAGATTTTTTTTTGGAAGGATAACATTGAAAACGTAGTTATGTGAAGTCGAATTCGAGCACTAGACTTCTCAGTTCGATTATTAAGAAATTATTATTAAATTATTATTAAGATTAAGTACAGATACGTCTTGTCTTCTAAATCTATTATATAAATATTTAGATATATGTGTTAGGTCTAAATTGACTAGGTAGATATGCATAAATAATTTCTTGTTTTACTATTTTATTTTATGTACTCACTCAAAGCGAAATTTTCTTATTAAGTTCTTTCGCATAGCTTTCACGTCTCCTTCTCGTGGAACTGTTTTTCGGCGGTGGTCCTAATTAATTAATAGTAATTAACAGTTTTTAGTCTTCAAAATAATTTTATTTATAAAATATTATTATTTATTATTATTATTATATTTTATATTTTATCATATTATACAAATATTATATAAATATTACACATAATGATTTAAAAAAGAAAATAAGTTAATTTAATTTAATTTAATTTAAAAAAATGTATATGTATTTGTATGAATATACGAGATAGGTACTAACCCGTGTGACAATTGTGCATGACATACACTTAGAATTTAATTTAATGACATCCGGTCAAAATGCTCTTAATTCAAAGCAAAGGAATAAGTTATCTATTTTTCTTATAACAATAATTTTAATATTTTAATACATCGAACTAGTTATTTTGTTACTGCATTAATTGTACTTGAAATTAAATACTCGTAATTTTAATTATTTTCTATTGATTAACAGTATAAGTTGATAGAGGTAGTTATATTATTTATGAAGTACCTATATATGTAATTTAGAAGTAATAAAAAAAATTAATTTTGTTAAATTACTAGTTTTAACATATTTGTAGCCTAATATTATAAATATATGATATATTAATACCTATAACGAAAATTATAAAAAAAAAAAAAAAAAAAAAAAAATGATAGAGAAAAAAAAACAAATAATAGAGAGGAAGTTGTGTGGAGCAGTGATGGGTCTTAATGGCCTATAAAAAGCTGAAGAAGAAGAAGAAGAATACCTATAAAGAGCTTAGAATAAAATAACATCAAACAAATTAAATTCTTACAAATATTGGACAGAATAATGAACAATTAATATAATTACTCGAATTTTATATTTTTGAATAAAATTATCAAAAATATAAAAATATTATTAAAGCTATTCTAGTCCAATGAGGGCATCTTGGTTAGTTTCTAAAATATATTTTGCGTCAACTACTAAGTGTAAAGAAAAATCCTACTTACAGTACCAGTGAGCAACTGGTTTATTACTTATAATATTTTTAACATTACATTATTCGAGTATACAGTAGGAAATAAATTTTCTTTTTATTCTATAATCGTAGTATTTTATTTTTTTAATAGAATTTTGGTATTATTAGCACCAAAGAAAATATTACCTTTTTTAGAGGTGGTATCAAACAGCTATTAAGATCATTAATGGACTTATAAAAAACTTGTTATACTTAATATTATATGACATATTTTATAATTGTTACTTTTGTGAATAATTATAAATGGGTAGTCTCGAAAGGATAAACTTAATTAAGTATATCATTTATTAACTATTGAGTATTGAAAGTATATTATTTGTTTTAATACTCAATACTTAATCTTACCAGATGAAGAGTCGGCAACAAAATCATCCCACTGGTTTAACAGTTCTAAAGCTACACCATTCGTCCAACCAAATCCTGTTTGTGGAGCATATTCACCACCGCCTCCACTTCCACCGACCACCGTAACATTGTACTAAAACAGTTTCCACATCAGAACATATGTATATTTTCGGAGAACATAGTATATCCTGTGTAAAAGACATCCATAATTGGCATATTACCTTTTCATACATGATCCCTCCGTTGCTAAATGATTTATGATTCGAATTTATCCAAGCCTTGGCCAAATCCGCTGCTACCTGTCGGGCCAATTTATGTTGTGTGTTGTATAGGCCTTGAATGAGAAATGCTTGTAGAGGAGGCCACCCGTTCGGGAAGTCCCACTGTTCTGACGATTTGTACATAGATGCTGGCATTCCTGTACAATAATTTGCGAAAACGGAATGTTTCTAATTTATTGGGTACCTTAAATGTTGACAATTTTTTGAGGGGACTTAGTCATATTTTGGGTGAAAAAAAATATGATGAAACTAGAATTTGGCGCAAGAACTTAGTTTTGAAGTTATAGTTAATTAAAGTTTACAATTTTACACTAAAATCCTTAAATACTCATTCTAAATCAATAAAAACCATTATACTAGTGATTTCAGTGCCTTCCCCTTGTAAAATCATGTTATTCATTGCTCCACGATAGAAATGTACAGCATTAACCAAAATACGCTATTTAAACAAAACTGCCAACTTTAAATTACTATAATTACAAAACTATTGATCAGCCCCAATTTTCATTTGCATTATCGTATTCATCGTTGAAAAATACACAAAACCAAAAAAAATTTCAAAATGTAGGGTGCCCCATAAAGTAGAAATATACCGCGAAAACACACTTAGAAAAAACTGAATAAATAATACTTACGTGGGCGCAACGATTGAGTTTATTATTTTAGCTGTTTAATTATCACAGTATAGGTACTTTGTTGTGCGTCAGAAAATTACGTCGATTGTGTTCTATATTCATAACATACATTGGTGGACTCTACAAATCCGAGGAATATATAAAAAATTGGCTAGAGAACCTAGTCCCATGACTATAGAATAAATATATATGACATACTCATATGTTTTATGTTATATGTCTTATTTTATTTTATATTATTTATAAAAAGTCTGATCGCCACATAATGGTTTGCATACAGGTTTTTGGCTTTTTAGGTTAGACACTAGCATTACTTAATATACTGAGAGTGTTTATTTTCACTGTGTGAACAATTTACCGTTATAATTAACGCTGAAATTCGAGTTGATAACATTCTGATCCCTCAAATATTTTAGCACTGAGTAAGCTACCGAATCATTCGGGATTTTATGACTTCCTGTCCACAAAGGTACAATGTTGGACATGTAGAAGGATTCACGATGTTTATTGTTTATCAAGTCCCAATCGCACCAACATCCTTTGTCGGCTCTCCACATCACCTGTATATAGTAAACTATTATTACCGTTAAACCAATATATATTTATATATATATACATAAAATCACAGTTGATATGATTTAATTACTAATACTAATGAGCAATTACCTCTTGTATACCAATGACAAGATTTTCAGCTATCAAATTGTATTTATTAGCTTTGTCATAATCATTTAATAGACGAAACCATGAACTCAATATCAAGGCATTTGAATGTAAAATGCTGTTCAAATCAACTGGCACGATATTCGGTGTATGGACATCAGACAATGTACCTAGATTTTATAAACCATATTAACATATCCAATACTTCTTGTACAGTGTAAACCAGTGGCGTAGCCAGGAACTTTTTTTTTTTTTGGGGGGGGGTCAGAAAATTTATGTATATTTAATCGGTTGTTTCCAAAAACCGCACACATTTGATTTTAACCCCAAAAAGGTTGGTAGATAAAACCGCACACTTATAGTGGCTAAAAACCTCACTATATAATGTATTAATAATAATGTATTTTGTATGGACGAATGTTGTGTATATAATTTTAAAGTTAATTGTAACATTCAAAAGCTTATCGCACGTTGATGTTCTCGAAAAATAACCAGTACATTTGTCGACCAAAACGCGTGGTATAACGTAAAGTTTATATACATATATACCTATTATATATATATATATATATTATCTGGGACGGAACTAGGGGGTTGAAGACGGGGATTCATCCCCGGGCGTAACATTTTAGAGGGTGTCATTTTTGTAATTATTAACAACTAATTTGATGTATTTAACTTTGTTAAATACTGTTATTAGGTTAAAACTCTATTAGTATGATTGTATATTAATTATTAGAAAAAAATTCTCGAGAAGAGTATTTGATTATTGGTCTAAGATAGGGCGTGATTTCAACATTTTCCTTGGGCGTAAAAATTCCTAGTTCCACCTCTGTATATTACTCGTACGAAAAAAAGTGTTTTTATAAATGGATTTTAAAACTATTGATAGTAATTAGGGATGGGCAAAAAACATCGATATTTTTAAAACATCGATGTTCTTGTTCGTTACATCGATGTTGCTTCGATGTTTTTTTATCGACGATACATCGAAGAAAACATCGATGTTTTTTTTTTTAATTATGTTATTAATTTTTCAGTTCACAGTTTTCAGTTTTTCACGAAGTTTTCTGTGTTGAGTGTTCCGTCGAACGACTTGACAATCGAGTTTCGGAATGGGCATTAAAATTTAAAATACGTAATACGTGATAAAATATGTGTAAAATATGTTGTAACTCGTAAGTGTGACCAACGTCTTTAACAATGTGTTCATTTTGATTCGTTCAGTCGCGACCACGATTAAAGACATCTTTAATCGTGGTTCATAGTTTCACGTTGGTTATTATCATATTGTAATTAATTATAATTGTTTTAACTGTACTTTAAGATTTAAAACTAAAATATTTTATGTCGTATTAATTTTTGTAAATATTTTATATAAGGAAGGTAATGCCCGAGTAAAAAAAATTCAGTTTCATCAATTTTATAACAGTTTATTATAGTAATATGTATTGAAAAATTAAGTTTAACAATAGTATTTTAACTTTTAAATTCATTATTTAATCAGGAAATTATAAAAAAAAACATCGAAAAAACATCGATGTTTTTTTAAAAATCCGATTTATTGACACTATCGATGTTTAAAATTTCCATATATCGATACAACGAAACATCAATGTTCAAAATATTTTGCCCATCCCTAATAGTAATAAAGGTTGTGAGACGGGTCTTAAAGACCCAATAAATCCTAAGAAAAAAAAGAAGAAGATAGTAATAAAGGGGGCAATTTTTATTTTTTTTTATTTATATTTTAATTTTTTGAAAAAACGTCGGCAAAAAATTTTAGCCATAAACAATTTTATATATTTTTTTAAATTTTATATTTTAAATTTTTCAATGCATATATACATTGTATTTCAATAAATTGTTTTTGAATAAGCATGCAGTATAAATAATAAATAATAAATAATAAATGATATATCATTATAAAATGTGCGATTTTTGATTACAAGAATTTAAAAATGTGTGCGGTTTTCACCTACCAAAAGAGTGCGGTTTTTGGAGTTGTCGATTTAATCTTATCACTATCATTTTGACTACTATTTGTACTGATCTCGATATTTTTAAGTCTGGTTGACATTAGTTTTTTTGACTCAGGTAAAAATAAATAATTAATTTTTTAGTCTGCTTATTTGTTAGAGAATTTGCCTATAATAATAAATAATAATAATAATAACAATTTAGGAACTAAGAACTAATATAAGTACATAAATATTAGGTATTAGAATATTATCTGACCAATTACTTAGGTACCTATATTGAAAATTAAATTTTAAAAATATCTTACCATAATGGAATGTTTAGACATCTTAGAATGATGTTAAATTAAAATAAAACAAATATAATGGAATTCAAATGTAAAATATAAACGAATAAACGAGGTGCTAGTAAAACAGTGAGACATCAAGGAGCAACGACCAATTATTAACTAATAACTATTAGTTCGACACAATAAGGCGCTTGTGTTAAATGATCGGCGAGCCGCGAATGCAATAGGTATACCCAAAATAAATTTTGAATACAAACAATGATATCGCTTTTATCTCAGTTATGGGGACCAGACGACCGATTTAGAATCAACCGTTGTAGAAAACCTAAATAATATGTTTCCAAGCAAAAATTATCAAAGTATAACAGAACCTCATTAACCCGGGCTAATTAGGGCTCTAGGTTGTCCGAATTAATGAAACTCCGGATTAAACAAAATAATTAAAAATCGTAAGTTATAAATTTAAAAAAAAATGTATTGCATATTTTATTATACAAGTTTTAAAAACATACATGTATGTCTAACAATATGAAACCTAGAAAATAGTACATAATTGTATAATAATCATTACGTACATAATACAGTACATATTAAGGTTTACCTTCATTATTCACACTTGACACGCTTAAGCGTAATTACTGGTTTAAAAGAAACTGCTAATCTTTGGGGTTGTCTTCCTTTCTCAGTAATTTCTTTAATGATTAACTCACGAAAATGCCTTAGATGCTCGTAATACGCAGATATAATATATGTTTTCATCGTTGTTATCTTCTACGTATTTAACGACAATGTCTAGATAGTTTAGATAAACTAGCGTAATTTACGTATTATAAACGGCTGTCCGGATAAAGCGAAGTCCGGATTAATGAGGTTCTACTGTAGTAGTAAAATATCTAAATATGATCATAATCAAGGCTCGGAAATTTATGCTCTAAAAAGTACTAAAATATACGCATACATATGAGTTAAAAAACATCAAAATATGCGGTATCATATGCAGTAGAAAATTGGAAAATAATTGCTTAAAAAATAATGAACTGACCATAGTCAGACTGTATACTGACTAGTTTACACTGTACAATGAAGTCGCTTGCATGCAAATGTATGTAGTATTTAACCAAGCTCGGAACTTTATGCGCTAAAAAATACTAAAATATGCGTTAAAAAACATCAAAATATGCGGTATAATATGCAGTAAAAAATTTGAAAATAATTGCTTAAAAAATTATAAACTGACTACTAACTAGTGTACACTGTACAATGAAGTCGCTTGCATGCAGATGTATGCAGTATTATAACGAACAGAAATAATATTGTGGATAAGCTAATAACCTAATAGTTAAATATAATTGTTTACGAATTACCTATGGTTATAAAATTTGTTTATGTCATATTACAAAATATTATTATGGTGGTAAATTTGTATAAAAATAAAAACGGGCCAGTGGTGGTCACTATTACGAGTTCTCGGTACTATAAAGATTATAATATTATTATTAGGTGCATTGGTAGTCGGAGCAATACAAATAATAGCAGTTGATGAATTAATTTATTTTGCCAAACAAATATAAGATTTAGAATTTTGGTTGTCATATATCTATTATTTTATTATTAAACTACACATTTTTTTAAAATATGTTGTTAAATCCATGAAATATGCATATAAATGTTCTTAAACCCATAATATGCGAATTGTTACAAAAATTAACAAAATATGCAAAATTATGCAACAAAAATATTTATATCTGAAATATACTATGAATCGAATTTGTATGGAATCAGTATTTCAATATGCACTTTCTAGACAAATACGCAAATGCCTAAAGTTCCGAGCCTTGATCATATTATATGACTTGTGTGTGTGTGTGTGCAGCGTGTGTATAATACGTTTATACAAACTATTAATATGATTTACAAGTCAAAATTTTAAAATATAAAAATGTTTAAGAAAAACCCGTGAGATGGTAAATTAACTTTTACATGAAAATAAAAGTTAATTTACCATCAAAAGTTCATGGAGGTGGGGGGTCTGACCCCCAAAATCCCTGGATACGCCACTAGTGTAAACATTACGTAAGTACTGACCGTGATCTGAACCATTAGCAGTAATGAACCATCTACTCGAAAAGTCCCATCCGGTTTCCGCTGCAGACTTTATCCTCACGTAAAATTCATTTTTTTTTTCCTCGGTATCATAATTTTCGGCTACTTTATAGTCCTCTCTGTTAAACATTTTAAATTGTTAATTAAATTTATTGAAGTGAAACTTTTTATTCTTGCAACTGTAATAATTGCAGCGTTATACCATTTCAGCTTATTATTTTAAATACCTATATGATTCCGGCCTAGGTCCTCTCGACACTCCGTAGTATCTGGCCATTGTATAGGATTTACCGTTTTTCTCGAAAGTTATCATCCGATTATCCATCCAAAACTGAAACTCATTTTCTAGGGTCTGAAAATAAAAACCGTTAACTGTCTCACCATTGTACGATTTTTCTAATTTGTATATGATTGTTCGAACTTACGGTAATCACACTACTTATGTAATTTAAGTCATTTGTAAATTTGTAATAACTCGAAGCCATTTGTATAAGCATCGGTGGCTGCGACCTATTCACATAGTATATTCGTCCACCGTTGGGCATGAAACCAAATTTATCCACTAAGTACACGATGTTGTTAATGATACCTTTAGCCGTTTCTTTCATGTCACACAGCAGTAGCCCTTTAATAATCCAATAAGTGTCCCAATAATAAAGTTCACCGAACCTACCACCGGGCATGATGAATCCATTTGGAACCCAGATCGTTGAATACATTTCTGGATGATCCTTCACGTCATCTTTGACTTTTCTTCCCAAAGCGGGCCAGAATCGATTTATTGCCAAAACCCAAGTTAGGAATTCAGTATGCTTGAAACGGTCGATTATTGGTGGACCATCTACGAAATCAGTCGGAACCCATTCTTCTAATTCGTTCCCGCCTGCCAAATTGTCATAGACAAACTTAGACAATTCGGACTGAGGGGGCACTACACCGTTATAACTATTTTTAAACGTTTTATACTTTGATAGGATCTCGGGTTCCGTATATAAAAGTTTCATGTCAACAAACGCTTTCGAATCTCCAAATACTTCTGATAATTGTACGTCGTGTAAAAATTCGCTTTCACAGTAGATTTGGCTAAATGAATAATTCAAGAATATATAAGTTTTTAATAAAAATTATCATTTTTTTCAAATACATTTATAATAAGTACAATTAATCGATAAATAAATAAGAAGAAAAAATATAATGTTGTATTCGTTAAATTACATTTTTATTGGAAAAAACATTAAACAATGTTATTCAATGATACCGAATAAAACTGTTTACAAATACGTATTTCCATTGTCTTACTATAAATATTGATATGATTTGTGTATTGTATTCTCTATAATTTTGTAGTTTTTAAAAATTAAATTAATTATTATAATATGTTTATTACATTTTATATTTCGTATACGGATCGTAAACCAACAATTCGTAATTTTTATTTGAATATTAAATTATTTTAAAACTGCATACAGATATTTGAAGGTATAGCTGGTATTTATTTGAATATTTTTAAGTATTTTAAAAGGAATTAAGTAAAAACAAACATTTTTGATTTTACACAAATGTTTTAATTATTTTTTTTTTCGTTTGCTAAAAAATATAATGAAATCAGTGCGTCTGAATTGCATGCCAAAAAAAATAAACATAAATTGGAATGTCCAAATTTGAATGCCATCCCTTAGAGGGGTCTGTCTGAATTACATGGCGTGCACCTCCAAGTTTATTTATCATGTACTTTTGTGTACAACTTAAGCTTTATTTTTTACTTTTATAATTTTTAAAACAAACAGATGAATGGAAACTGATTAGTATACGGACGTTTACAACAAGCCCACCTTTCAATATCATTGCATAATAATTTTTGAAAATAAAATTTGAAACCATCAATTACATAAAGGGTTTTGTTTTTTTTCACTCAACATATTTTGAACTTGTGGTTCCAAAATCACACAACAGCTAAGTTATCTGTAATGTTCCAAAACGTACTAATATTATAAGACACAGAAAAACACACATCTTGATTTTGATCTAAATTATATTTTCGTAACGGCATACTCTACCTTTATTATCTTAATATGATTTCAGATTAATATAATAACGCTTATAAAAATTGAACATCAAATATTTAAGTGACCTATACGTATGTCTGTGAAACAGACCACAATACACACAATAAGTACAGTTTGGTAAAATTTTTACTTGGGTATAAAATATATTTAAATCTAGAAACTAGTTAGTTATAACAACCATATAATAAAGAGTTAAAGTCAAAATAAAGTATAAATTTTACACATAAATGCAAATAAACTTGTGGGTACACGGCATACCCTTCTAAGACGTGGCATAAATTCGAATAGGTTCTCTATGACGTGACATGCAATTCGGATTTTTTTTTTTTTTTATGCATGCAATTAGGATGGAGCCGATGGAATTTTCAAAAAATGTTAAATTTAAAAAGATAATAATTATTTACATTATCAAAGGTTTATAAAGTATAATATATGTAATGACTGTTCTTGACGTGAATAAAATGTTATTAAATAATTAAAGTGTAATAATAACACATTAACACTAACAAACTAGTTTTATCTAGTTAATTTTAAGTAGTTATTTTTTAAATACCATACCATTACATAATATTATTTAGAAAGTTTAAGTTGAATGAGTAATAAAATATTTTTTCTGGTGTACAGTTCTTAATAAAGTGGTAAAATTTGTACGATAGTGAAAATACTCGTATTAATAATTTATCTGCTTGTTGCAGATCACATTTAATAAAATATCGTTTGATCCACAATGTTATTTTCAGAATACATATTATTATGTAATTATTCAAAATTTTATAAACTACGTAAATCGGTTGATTTAAGTAATATTTATTCGGTTTTGAAAGTAATTTTTTATTATAACTTTTTACGTTTTAGAAACGCTTTAGAACTTAGATATTATTATTAATAATATTATAACTTATTAGTAAAACGTATGCTTATATCATAAAATCGGATAAACTGTATAAATTAAACTGTTAAAGTATATACCTTTGACATGATGGCGGCAATTTGTTGGAAGCGTACTCATTTTTATTATTCCATTCTTTTTGGGAAAGTGCATATTGTAGATTGAACACGATTTGTGCCAGGCTCACGACCAAGAAGGACAATTGCATCGTTGGAAATGAATAATAATATAAGTTAATAAAAATTTTTTAAATAATAATTTGAATTAAAATAACTCTCGATTAAATTTATCAATCTTTATCGTTTCAAGAATATCGTTCTCTTTCCTTTGGGCATTCCACGAATTTACTTAACCGATAAATGAGAACTCAAGGATTTTATAAAAACAGACAATGGTAATATTGACAATTAATTATATCGAACATATAATATGTGCTAACTTCCCAACAGAAGTGATTATTTATACTAATATCACCGGTGTAGATGAATGCTTAGATGCAATCAATCATATAATTCTGTATGCCCTCCCTATTTATATTCACTATGTAGAAAAAAAACGGATGTATATGTTATAATATCATATGTTATATTTATATAATATTTTAAACATCAAAATTGATATAGACTCTATGTAGACCTATATGTACCTACTTAAACATTTTTAACTGCCAATATTGCCAATTAGGCAAATGCCACAAACAGAACTGCTATCGATTAAATATTGATAATATATGAGTTATGTAGGAACGACATAATACACGTAAGCATTGGCGATTGTGATGCACGGGGAGTATACAGTCGTGTAAGATTGTCGTTAAGATTTAGAATGTAGATTTTGAATGTATTATATTTTTTAAATTTTTTTGCCAGTTAACTGAACCGTTTAGGAATGTACGTATTTGTGAAACTTTTTTGACAAGAGCCATTTGGGAATAACCAAAAAGAGGATGGAAGCCGTTTGGCATGTGCCGAAATTTTTATGTCTTATTACATCATACCATTAACAATAATTTAGCTCATTATTTTGCTTTTTTTTTATTTATTTTTTTTTTTTTTTTGCTGTACAGTCTTCTTGTAGTTGTTGAATTACTAATTATGGTGTATGGATTAAAATCATATAGATAAGAAGGTCTATTTTAACTTTTTTTTCACCTTTAACTATTTCCAAGCAATTGAATAAAATATAAAATAAAATATTTTATACGTTATCTTAGTACGAATCATTTTTTAACGTTTTATCTATTGTTTGAATCATGAATAATATTAATGTTTTTACAAAATGATGTATCAATACTGTAATAAATAACGATGAGCGTTTTCAATTGTACTATTAATTGGATACTTTGTCGTATTTTATAAGTAGTTGTACTTGTATTATTGCACTGGGCGACGTCGAACTGGTGTTCATTTATGTAAATACAAACTTGAAAAATGTTTTTAACGAAACGGTAAATCATTAATACTATAACTATTACAGTACCTTATAAGCAAATTACGAGTGTTTAAACGAGACAAATATTGAAATAGTTCATATTACTAATATACAGTATACTATTGTAATTATGCATAACCTGGTAATGACGTATTATTTATTATTATTATTTTATTATTATTACTATTTGCTATTGATTAAAAATATGAAAGATACGAATACAATGCGAAACGTGAGACCAATTTTAGTTTTTGATTTTGTTACGAAATAGTATAACAAATCGAGGAATACCTGTAGTACGACATATTTTAATAAAACACGTCCAAAATATCTTGTTAGGTATTTTAAATAATCGTGTAATCGTGTGTTATTAATTATTATACTAAAATATGTTTCTAAACCAACGATATCTGATATACTCGTATTTTATGATACGTTATCAAGAATATTATGGTAGTTCCGGTGTAGTTTCTACCGGTTAGCTGAACTATAAATAACATACAATTTGGCAAAATCAATTTTATTACTCAAACGTTAAAAACGAAAATATTTTCCAAAATTAGGTAACTATTGACTGTTTAGTGATTATCAAGGCTCATAACAGATCAAGGGAAAATCCTAACAGGACTCATGAAGTAAAATATTTCGCGCCGCCACTGACTGATAACCTAATGGTCAAACATAATTGTTTACGAATTACCTATGGTTATACAATTTGTTTATGTCATGTTACAAAATATTAATATGGTGGTAAATTTGTATAAAAATAAATACGGGCCAGTGGTGGTCACTATTATGAGTTCTCGATACTACAAAGATTATAATATTATTGTTAAGTGCATTGGTAGCCGGAGCAATACAAATAATAGCCGTTAATGAATTAATTTATTTTTCCAAACGATATAAGACTTAGAATTTTGGTTGTCATATATCTAATATTTTATTATCAAACTATACATTTTTTTAAAAAATGTTGTTAAATCCATAAAATATGCATATAAGTGTTCTTAAACCTATAATATGCGAATTGGTACAAAAATTAACAAAATATGCAAAATTATGCAACGAAAATATTTATATCTGAAATATACTATGAATCGAATTTGTATCGAATCAGAATTTCAATATGCACTTTCTAGACAAATATGCAAATGCCTAAATTTCCGAGGCTTGGTGATAATATACACAATTTCTAGTCATCGATTCTCTTGCATAAATGCTCGGGCACACAGAACGGCGGTCAGCGATCTGATGACGACACACAGGCAGCGATAATTTGTTAGCGGCCTGCTACAACAGTCATAATCTAGTAATTTAGTAATCTAGTACACAGTTGCTTATATCTGTCCACTTGATTTACTTTCCGGTTATACCCAGTTCTTCGGATATTTTATCCCATATTTTTTTGCTAAATTTTTATAATTCTCATGAGATGTGTCGAATAAGTACACATACTTTCTTAATTGCTCGATGAGCATTTCAGTTTCTTCGGCCATTTTAAAAATATAATATAATTATTTCATAACAGAATATAAAAAAACCAATAAATAACAACTGGTCGACGGATCCAATATAGTTCGAATTCTTGGAGAATCGGTATAACCGTGTGACCATGACGATGTGGAGTACAAACCGCATTGACGATCTGCTTGTCGGGAAAAAGTCATGATCTGTATAATCAATATATATATATAAATGTGTATTGTAGCGAATCAGAAAGAATTCAGGTCTCGTTTTCTCGAATTCCAAAGCGCCGTATTTTCGACCAGGATCAGGTTAAATCGGCGAAACGTGTGGTGTTTACTGTACCAGGTTCGTGACTTATCCGCGAAGACCTCGAGTCACGTTGATCGACCTATTTTGAACGTTCACGCCGTCACGATGTCGGGTTGCTGCACACAACACCAGGTAATGTCTTGCGGATCCGTGGCAGTCATGATAGAACTGCGCGTTGGTTTCGATGATAGAAATGGTGATACTCGAAGATATTGCGATGGTAGGTACAATGCACCGACAGGACTGTAGAACCGGTGCCGAGGGATGGAAAGGTAGGTAGGATTTCGGGATGCTCTGAATAGATAGATAGGAACTATCACGGATCTCTGCACGGACGCAGTGTGAAATCATAACAACAAGCCTCGCAAAATCCGTGTAACCATTATTAGTACATTACCATGCCCTATGGATGTTTTGTCTTTCGACTTTGTATTCTAACGGCGCGTAACTTTGCAGTCCACCCACGACATAACACATTGGTGAAAGTGTGTGTTTTATTAGATAGGAAAAATGTCTACTCAACATTAACAGACGTTTACTAAAACGGTTCGTTGTGGTGTAATTATTCAGAAAGACCATTTACATTTTCGTATTTTTCTTTACGAGAAGTAAAAATTTTTGCTACCTGTACCAATACAGAAAAACTCGATTTTTTTCAGCGCCTGGTTAAACTTATATTTTCAGTATCTTTAAAATTTCGATCACTTGTAGATTCAAAAAATTCCGAACCTTTTGAACTACTATTATTGAGTTTTATAATGACACGTGCAGCTTTTGCAAAAGTTCAATAAACTTACTAATTCTGAGATGTAGACCAATGATAGCCATAAAAAGATAAATATAATAATTAATAGATAAAATAATTTGAGGATTGATAAAGAGAAAGTAAGAAACAAATATAATGAATATATTATTACTAAAGATGTTCAAAGTTTCAAAAAAAAAAAAAAATGTGCAAATCTTATAGCTGTGAATTTTTTTGGCAATGACCTATTGAACCAGAAGGTATATCAAATGATATCGTATAATTTTTGCATTATTATATAGGTAACGAAATTGTCTGGTTACAAAAAAAATTTGAGAAAATGTTTTGAATATTGGAAAAAATAACACGAGTTAAAATATAAGACAACGTATTTTCAAATTTTCAATTATAATTTAAAAACTTTAAAAAGTGATTAAACTAATACTTTAAGTGTTTATTAAGTTAACATATCACAAAAATGTTAAATTAATAATAGACAAATATCTTTTGGATTATATATTTTTTTTTACATTTCTTTTAAAATAATCATCGTGTTCGTTGGCCAAGTCGACGTTGGTTCATAGAAGGTAGGAGAGAATAATTCATATTTTATAATAAAGTGTCAAATTACTTTTGTCATACGAAAAAATGAATTTAATTTCGATTAGAGATGTAGTATAACACAAATAATAAAGCGTTTTACAAAATAACTAGCTTCGTGCTACTTTTTTTGATTGATGTAAAAGATATTCCTAATATATGTATTATGGTCAGTTACGATATAGTTATATTTTCATATTATTATGTTAATTTATTTATTTAATTGACAGCCAACCTTTATTTGTCAAATATATACAACAATCGTGGTAAATGGATAAACTATAAATTATAGTCAATTATTATAATATAGTTTTACGATAATATACGAGTTAAATAATGTAACTAGATTTATTCAAAAAATAATAATATTAATATTTAGCAATGTTTTGACCCCATCTTCCATAACAATTTTCACTTGAACAATTCATTATATCATTTATAGAACATGTAAAATTTAATTAACTCTTCTACAATCATTTCGTAGCTACAGGTATTTAATCTTCAGAATTGTATATTGATCACGTGCCATTTTCGTGCCGTCATCGTGTCAATAAAGTCACATAATATTGAACATTATGAATTTGATTAATAATTTTCCCAATATTTTTACAACATAATATTAACATGTTTATTCCTACTCCATTATAGACGTATTCAAATATTTGCTAGTGTGATTATAATATATCGCATACTTTATTGACATTTTTTAGACGATAGTAGGCGGTAATTTTTTTTTTTATCTGCAAAGAGATTGAAAACATTGATTTTATTTATCTGCTTATAAGTCTTACCTGAATTATAAATTTGATGTTTCCTGTATCCTGTTATTATAAAATAAAAAGGATATTAATTGTTCTAGTGACGTAATAGGAATTTTGAAAACATATTCATCGGAAAGATTATACTTAAATTAAATTTTTTTATATTTTCATTTTTACCTTAAGTTAAAAAAAATACTGTAAAGGTTATTAAATTAAAATATGTTTCTATTAACAGTATTAACTATAATTTAAGAGTAGTAATAAAAAATATGGAAAAGTCAATCTCTAGAAGACTTCACTGCAAAAGCGAAATCAAATTTGTTTATATATCTGTGTCATATCACTATATAGATCGATGGATACGTTGGAAATATAATACAATTAAACAGTCTCAAATTGACAGAAACGATAAACCACTTTTTGATGTCTTTTAATATGTTTAGATCTTTCGGAATTCCCACGTGCCCCTGTAAAATGGTTACAGGACCAACGTCATCATATTGTTGCTTTTTACTCAAGGGCGGTTCTAGGATATACGGTTTCGTAAGGATACAAATATATTTTTAAGTATTGACTATAGACTAACGTACAATTGAATTGCCAAATGTTCTTCTTAGCAACTGTTAATTATCATATTTAAAAATATAAATACTGAAAAAATTTTTATATTTTCTTTATTCCTATTCTATTCACCTTGGGTAGAAAACGCTTATTCAGATAAACGCCAAAAATGTTGGTACGAACACCTGTCCACCTTGCCCATATGGTAGATGTTGTTTTTACCTTTGCTGTTTATTTTGTGTGACAACTCAAAAAACGATCTTCTAAAATTGTGTAGTGTGATTTAAGGTCAATTCTTAATGAAGGTCGCATATTAGACTAGTGTCAAACTTTTTTTATGTAAATTGAATACCTAATTTTATGGTTTGAAATTGGGGGTTAGTATTTAATTTCGACATGATTAATTTGAATAAAAGTTACAGAATATATGATATCTAAAGTAAAAACACTGACTAAACCAAAAGCTAAAAATTACCTAAACTTAAAATATATTACTTTAATTTATCGACTTTGATTGAGAAACATTTTTCGAATGCGACGATCTGTCATTTTATTATGTTGTTTTAATGATCTTACTCAATTACATTAATAAATATACTATGATGCACAAACGGATAAAAATTGTAACTTTTACGTTGTTAAAAGTGGAAATCTTCAATCTACTAGGCTGTTATTTTTTATTTTTGGCCCACGATCACATTTTAAATATAGTATGTATTTTTTTTATCTTGGTCAAATTAGAACAGCTTTAAGCCATAGTTTACGTGTGTCTTAGATTTAAAAGATCGTGAAAATGTCTTTCATTTGTTTTTATTTCCATTTTATTTATCAGTTGAATATGTCCCAGAAAATGTAAATAGAGATTATTGATTTACAGAACATCACAATATTAAAAAAAAGTATAGTTACTTTGAATTTTCAATTTTTTATTTAAGTTATAAACGCATTAAAAATAATGGCTCTCTTTGGTAATATTTACAATTGAGAGCATATTTTTTTATAAATGAAAATCGCCAAATCAAAAACTAAAACTCGATTTATTGATTTTCACCTAAAAACTGCATCGTCCAGATACAACCAGATATAGAAAAATTAATTTTCAAAAATTAATGTTAGTCATCACATTAAAATCAAATAAAATACGAAATAAGTAATTTGTATTTTAAAATTGAAATATATTAATACTTATAGTGTGTTAAAATAATAATGATTTGTAATTTAAAATGTATTTATAAATATTAGGACTTACGTTGTTTTACTACCAATTCGACACGTGAGATTTGTAGAAAATAATATGTGGCCCTGTGTATAAAAAAAAGTTGAAAACTCGCAACATTTCATTTAATGGTGCTGTGAAACTTTTTACTAGACGCAATGACATGTTACGGTGCGTTTGGCGAGTGAATGTACAAAGTGGTAAACGGTCATCATTTGTACAGTCTACTGTTCTTATCGATATCCTCAAAACTATAGACTTCGATCTGTCTCACGCGGGTGATTTGTATGGTTAAAATGACACTGGTAACATTGAAATGGGGTCAGTATACGCATACGGTTACAGCTTTAACAAATTTTGCCGACCGGATTTCGTTGATATTTTTTTCATTATCGATTTGCGATTGAAATACTAGTATCGCCGCTACACTCGGACGAATTTATTATACTGAGATCCACCGTTAAATTTGATTTTCAAAAATGTTCGGTTGGACCGAATTCGATTTTCCTAGTTGAACAGGGTTCTTATATTCGTTGTTGAAATGAACGCGAAATATTTCAAAACCGAATCCACAGTAGTCAAGTCGTAAAAACATACAATTACATATATTCTGTAGTAGTTTAAGAGGTATGTATAAAGATATATGTACCCAATAGAATACTCGAAGTATACACAATTTTTATAAGTAGTTTTTCATGACTTTCGTTCGAGTTTTATTTTCTGTAAATTCGTAATACAACGTATATATTGTCAAAAAAAAAAAAAATAAAAAATAAATAAATACTTTACAATAATATACTTATAAACATTATTTTTTTAAAAAAATTTTCAGAAATTAATGTAGTATACTTATTGCTAAGGCGTGAAAAAATACATAGTATTTCAATAATGTTTTTCGATTTTTTTAAATTATTATAAAGCTATTATAAATAATTAATATATATAATATGCTATTCGAATACAAGATGTATTATGATAATAAAAATCTTAAATTAACGATTTATAGAATAATATTAACATTAAAAAATTAATTGAAATAAATGAGAAATTATTCTAGAACGCAAAAATGAAAATTACTATACACAATTCGATGATAATAATAAAATTAGCGTTGAATAATCGTGATATGATGAGTTTAATAGCTCAACAAAAATACGTTATTTTGTTTAATAAAAATCATCTAAATATACGTCGTATCAATTTATAAAAAAAATATAAATAAATTAATTAATACTGATTTTTTTCTCTTTGCACTTGTCAACGTGTTAGAGTTGTTTGAGGTACGGTTGATTTAATTATATCCATGTTCCGGTGCGCGAGGGACTGATGTGATTATCCATATTTTCTTAATTCTGGAAAAACATGAATACATATAGATTGTTAGTATATTATTTCGTATTACTTGAATAGATTTGTTCGACATGTTTTTAAAAATTTTACAAATTAAATTTTTTAACTGACATTATACTGTCGCCAAATAAAAAAAAAAGCAAAATTGAGTGATGTTGCAATGGGTGCCAGTGCTATGCTACCATGCAAAGATAATTGTGTCGCTGAAATCTAATTTGCATTGTATTTAATATTATTATTATCAACAAGTGCCTTATATTGGTGATTTACAGCGGATATATTATCCTCCCTTTTTTCTATGATCATTTTTATTTACCCAAAATGCTAAATATTGTTTGATCCTATTGAAATCGCACATGTATTTATTGCCACTACATCCTAAAAACACACAAAAACAAAATTCTTACTTTCGTTTCTTGCGAATTTATTGGAAATTCCGAGTACATATGTATATGTCACAAATTGACTTTTTTAACCTTGTTTTGCAACTCGTTAAAACTGATATTATTGTCAAGTATCAATAAATTCATCTGGACAATTAGTGAATTTACACATTAATAGTTATAGTTCATTATTGTATTAATTTGTTGCTTAATTTGTTTCACATAATTTTTTAAAAATAATTTCTTTACCGGTGTTTGAAAAAAACCATGCATACAATTTATTTGTAACTTTGATAAAATATAGGTACTTTAATGTGCAAATTACGTATTTTTATTCTAATACAATATTATTATTACTTAAGGAGCACATATAATATGATTTTTGCACAATCGAATGACATTTTTCATCATATGACTGTGAAAAAAAAATTAATTTTTTGAACTTTTTAAAATTAGTAATCGATGACGACTGATATGCATAAATATTGCGACATAATATATTAATTACGATACATATATGTTTTAAACTTTGATGTTCACTTTAAAATCCATTGAGTATTTCGTGTGGGTATTATTGGGTACTAGTTTTCTTCACATTTCTTAATTGAATCATGTACACGTTTCACGAAGCATTATGAAAATATTATGCAATAGTTACAAGTTCATTTTTAACAGTTCATTAATTTTATAATATAATCTTACCACTATTAGATGTATACGAAACTGAATCACCCCATCTGTTTAAGAATTCAAACACAACACCATTTGTCCACCCAAATCCTGTCTGTGGAGTGTATTCACCACCACCTCCAGTTTCTCCTGCGGCTAAGACATCGTACTAAAAAAAAAAAAAAATAAAAAAAAATGCATAAATAAAAAAATATCTTCATTAGAATATTTCATGAAAAATATAATATTATCATAAAATCCTAGTTTCAATTTCAATTTCATACTTTTTCAAACATCATTGATTTTTCAGCGTATCCTTTGTAATTCGAACGTAACCAAACCTCTGCCATATTATACGCGACTTGTTGAGCGAGTTTTTGATGTGTTCTATCAAGACCTTGAATCATGAATGCTTGAAGAGGAGGCCATGCGTTTGGAAAGTCCCATTGTTGTGACGATGCATACATTGACGTAGGAGTCCCTAAAATTAAATTATAAATTACATAAACTTAATATAATTGCAATTTATATAAATTAATTTAATTAATTTATATAGGTATGACAAGTATTAATGTTAAAATAAGATATAAAGGACACTCTTCTAAAATAAAACTAAAATAAGGTCCCTAATTTAAATTTCTGTACAAATTTTTTAGAAAATAACCATAATATAAATTTTGATATCAATACTAACTTAGAAATATTAAGTACCCAAAAGAACTTAAAAATTCAGTTTTAGGAGAGTTACGCGTACACAATGAAATAAAGAAAAAAAATTTTAGTAATATTTTAAATTTAAAAATCTATTTTAAAAATAGTATCTTATATTAATATATTTTAGATAACAATAAATAATAGCCAAAGTATTTATATTTCTTAAAATATCTATATTTAATAAAAATTCATATTAAATAATCTCTCCAATAAAAATAAATTATTTCTATGTAAAACGACCAACTTTTCTCAATACATCCCTTCCTTTATTTTTTCATATTCAATTGTGATTTTATAAAATTTGTATATATCTGATGATGAATTTTTTTATTCAAAAGTGGTCGTACATCACTAATATAATAATACTCCAGAATAAACATTTATTTATTTAATACTAATAATAATAATATATTATTACTGTATTCATTTATGAGTATTAAAAATTTACTAATATTTGTTTTATTTTATTACATTACCATACAATAAAAGTTTACCAAGTGAACATTTATAAATCTTATAAGTAAGGGATTTTTATTTTTAACTTTTTTTTAAAATAATTGTTTTTTGTGCAATTGAATAAGTTGACAGAGTTTAAAAAATGTCACAAAACCCAATATTTTTATTATTTCGATAGCACTATAGTAAAATATTACCGTTAAAACTGACGCTGTAATCAGGTTCAATGATATGTTCATCCTTTAAATATCCCAATACAGAACTAGCTACTGCCTTTTTTGACATATTGTAGCTTCCTGTCCACAGAGGCACAATATTTGATACAAAAAAGTATTCGCGATGTTTGTTGTTGATTATGTCCCAGTCGAACCAGGATCCTTTGTCAGGTCTCCACATGACCTAGAATAATTAATATTCAATACGTAAAGTGTGTTGTTTATGAGTAATTGAATGCCACTTGGAACGAAATAATCACTTCTTGTATAGCGTTAAGAAAATCGTCTGCTATCCTGTAATACTTATCAGCTTTGCTCTTGTTTCCCATCTGGTCGAACCACGTACCTATCATAAGTGCATTTACTTGAAGTATGGAGTTTAAATCCACTGGGATAATACTCCCAGTTTGGATATCGGGCAATTGACCTACATTTTACATCACACATTTTTATGATAATTTCTATTGTTTTTTATCGAAACATTTTGCAATTATATTACTTACCGCGTTGCTCTTGGTTTTTAGGTATAAACCATCTACTCGAAAAGTCCCATCCGGTTTCCGCTCCAGACTTGATCCTCACATAAAAGTCGTCTTTTTGTTCTTTGGTTTCATACTGCTCAGCTATTTCGTAGTCCTCTCTGTTAAAAAATAATATATAATAACTGTACTACATTTCTTTAACATGCGGCTGTGGTGACTACATATCGTCACCAGTATACGCATTTTCACAAACCTATAGGATTCTGGCCTCGGTCCTTGTGACGGTGCATAGAATCTAGCCATTGTGTACGATTTACCGTTTTTCTGGAAAGTTATCATTCGGTTTTCCATCCAAAATTGAAATTCACTTTCCAAGACCTAAACACGTTCAATGATTAGTTGTTTTGCGTAATCAAATTGTTATTATGATTATTGTTTTTGACTGTTCGGACTTACGGAAATTTTTTGTTTTATGTAATCAAAGTCATTGGTCGCTTTATAGTAACTTAATACCATCAGTGGAAGCATCGGTGGCTGCGACCTATTTAGATAGTACACTCGTCCACCATTGGGCATAAAACCAATTTTTTCCACCATTGATATGATATTATCCATGACACCTCGAGCCGTGTACTTCATGTCGCACAGCAGTAGTCCATTAACTATCCAGTAAGTGTCCCAATAGTAAAGTTCTCTAAATCTGCCACCGGGTATGATAAATCCATTTGGAACCCATATCAACGAGTACTTATCCGGATTGATTCTTACGTCTTCTTTGACTTTTCTTGCTAAAGTTTTCCAAACATGATTTAATCCTGCAGCCCAACCTTTGTAATTCTGGTCTCTGATTCGATTTATGATCGAAGGATTTTCATTAAAATCAGGTGGTACCCATTCTTCTAACTCGTCTCCATCTTCTAAATTCTCGTCAATGAATTTCAATAATGAAGAGTTAGAAGGCACCTTTCCATTGTTATTATATTTCAATTTTTTATATTTTTCTATAATTTCTGATTCTGTGTATTTCAGTTTTTTGTCTACAAATGTTTTTGAATCCATATAAATTCCAGATAATTGGACGTCATTCAACAAATCACTATTACAGTATACATCGCTAAAAATTATAAATATCATTATTTTATTTAAGTTTTTCATTACTCTGCAGTGAATATTACATAACTAGCATTCTTATTTATTCAGAGGAATAAAACTGTTTTTTTTTTTTTGTTAAGCGGTGAAGCCTTCAATTACATAGACTTTTAGCCTAGAATTAATATATATTATATCTTAAAATTAGATTGGTATGATGTTAAGTATAAATAGTCTATGGTTTAGGTTTTCAATATGAAAAAATTGGATGATTTGGATGGAGTTTTCTTGATCCACGATTTTGAAATTATGAACCATCATTTGAATGTGTACACAGGGAAAAGTCAATAAAGGGCTAAGTAAGGTATTTTCGTAGTATAAGACATTTTGTGATATTAAACATTTAAATAATAAATCATAAAATTGCTTATGCCACGAAAGTTATCATAGATACTTAATTTGACTAATTAATTTTATTAAAATTTTCTATTACATATACGAGTAAATCTTAATAATTAGGCCATTTTGTATAAAATAATTAAAAATATTAATTTATCTAATATCCTTTAACATGCAATTTTATCTTAACGATAAGTAAACTAAACTACTTCATTACTAAATGTGATCTTATGAAATTCTTGGAAATTGTAAGTAATATTTTATATGAAAAACGTTCGTTGTCTGAACTTAAAAATGTATTATTTTACATAAATAATTAAGTTTAATATGTAAATTGTTTTTATAAAAAATTAAACTGTCTAAAATCGTTAAGTTTCTATAACGATTCAAACCTTGTTTTACGTTTATAAATTTATCATCTGGTTCATAATTTGAATATAAACCGTATTATTTTCATAGACTTCATGAAATATTTGAGTATTTTAAAATAAAATACACTAATTATAATATTGATATAAAATACTAGACTAATGATTGGTTCAAATATTTAAAAAAAATTATCTTAAATTTATTGTTTTTGTTTTATTATTATAATGCATTTAGATGATTAAATATCTTAAACTATAGGACAAAGAACTTTATTTTAGTAAGTAAATAATTATTAGCTACTTGTATATATGTGCTATAATGTTATAAATATAGTGATGTAAAATATTTTATTGAATAGGTTATAAATTAATTAATATTTATGTAATATAAAATAATATCCTATTAAACGTTTTATACTCTAGTAAATTAGAATGAAATTTGAACTACTGATTTGCCTTCAATTGAGATAAGATTATATTTATTAGAAAATGTTTGGTTTAATTTATTCAATAGTTATTTATTCTTATAACTTCAGTTGTATAATAATTTAATTAATTTTGTAAAATTATTAAGAATAGTTTTTACAAATATAATTCATAAAATTCATTTTAAATGTTAATGTATTACTTATTTCTATATAAGTAATAACTAATCAAGTTAATTTCATATTCCAATAATTTTACTACATACAATATATTTTAAATTTTATCAAACTAATAAATAAAATGATTTCTAAGTATTTTAAACATTTGTTTTAAAAATTTAAATCATTATAAGCATATAATTTTTTATATAGATATTGTAGATGTAGATATTATAATATGTATTTTGTAATTATTTATAAAATAGTTTATTTTATATATGTTAAATCAACTATTGATATTTGATAACTAGCTGATAACAATTGAAGTATAAAGAATTTTTTTTTTCTTATAATATTTTAATCAAAAACAAATTATTACAACCATTTTTTAATTGCAAGTAAAGAAAATCAAACAATGTACAATAAACAGAAAATAATTTAGCAAACATAACGCGTTTACCTGCCTTTAAATTGATGGATTATTAGTATGAATTTTTAAAGGGTTAGTTTTTAATTTTCTATTTTTATTTAACTGACAATTTTTGTTGACAACTTTAGGTTAAGTATGTATTATGTAAGTAAAATAATATACATTATATTTGAAATGTATTATGAGGAAGATTTTAAAAACACGTTTGATCATATTTACAATTTGGTAATGAAAACTGCATAAATTGCGTAATAATAATAATAACTGTTAAAAATTAAATATTTTTTTATGAAAAAATTAATCAAATTACATGAATATTGTAAATAATGTTGAATGGGAATGGTGAAAATTAGGATTTTTATAGAATATTTGTTCAAATTTGGATAAATGTAAAGCAAAACTAATACTGATGTATATACCTTTCACACGACGGCTGCAGTCCATTGGCAGCATTGAAAAAGCCTCTTGTTAAGTATACAAAGTCTTGGGAATCTGCGTGTGTACAATACACAACTTGTACTAGGCACACGACCAGTAAGTAGAATAGCATCATTTCGAAAATATCAAACAAATTAATAACGTTTAAAGACTAAAAGATAAATTTTATAATTTAATTTTTACAAACAAGTTGCATAATATTCTTAAAAAAAATAAAAATAAAGAAATATAAAATAATATATTAACTCTGATCGAAACAGAATAAATAAGTTTGTTTTTTAAATTTCTTGTGTTAATAAAACGAGCGTAGAATTGGACCAAGATCCTAAATCAGTTTGCCTCAGGCCGTGCACGATTCGACTGCACTAATGACCAGCGTACGTTGTGCCTTTATCAGAACACAAGACCCAATGCTAATGTTGGCTAATAATTCATTAGACAGATAGTATACGGTAACCCCTTATGTGTGATAATTTGTGCAAATACAAGTAGATAAATATACGGTACCTACGTCCGAATAGTAAAAAGAAATTGTTGACATGTCTTCGTATTATAATCTATTTTCCCCCTTTATCCTTACTTCTAGTCTTATAATAAACATATTACTTAAAATGAAGTATACGGCAGTACACAAATTAGCTCTATTCAAGTACCTAGATTTTTTCGCATGTTCTTGCCAAATGTTCATGGTCATGCCCGTTTGTTTCGCTATTGTGTTCAAATTCGACTATGATATTACATTGACATAACTGATTTGAACACTATTCATATTTCAGTTACAAATATAAAATTACTTGGTGTTTATTTTATACCTACACATATAAACTGTTAACTATAATATTACCTTTTAAATATTATCACAGTTTATTTATTTTTCGTAAATTGCATTAATATTTTTTCATTACTTTTACATGCGATTCGTAATAAACTAGCCATTATAATTATTATTGTACTTCAAATGAGTAAGTAGGTACATAAACAATAAATTGTTTATTGTTACACAGTGAAACCAACACATACTTGGTTCATCGTTTTGTTAGGAATTCCAAATATCGCTTCGTTTTAATCTACATTAAATAAGCTGTTAAAAAGATAAATTAACCACATTGCATACAAATATTGGAAAAACCATCATAAGTACTGTAACATTGAGTTTATAATAGTTTGTGTTCAAAACCTGTCTTATTTCACAAAATGTTGGTGTGCGTATTCTTTTGTATGAAATTGCTTAAATTTCAACAGATGATACGGGATAAATAGAACATTATATTTAAAGTATATACTAAGTAAGTTGGGCACGTGTATTTTTATACTTTTTGTAACTATCAAAAAAGATGCAGATAACTCATATAGTTATTAGTGAATATTAATTTTTTTTTACATTTTCTTGTACATAAAAACTTACATAGACGAATAGGTATTAAGTAAATTTATGTATTAGGTTATGCATAATACAATAATTCTATGATATAACTTGAAATTTAAAATAATAAATAATCGTATTAAAATCAAGTCTTATTTCCAATACTGATCTCTTTAATTCACCATTAAATATATGTAATTTATTAAAATGTACCTACCTAATTCTTCTCCTTTTCCTTCGCCTTTCTCCCGACTATTTGAGGTCACCTACCCTTGTCCTAAACCTCCATTCGTCTCAATATTCTAAACCCCCTACGCACTCATCAATAATCCTCTTATCATTCTCAATCGTATCCTATCATCTTTTTTTTGGTCTTCCTCTTCCTTATTTACTTTCAACGTACATTTTCATAACCACTCTTACTGCTTTTGTTTCTTTTTGGATCATCACATGCTCAAACCATCTCAGTCTATTTTTTCTCATCTTCCCCATTATCGATGATACACCAATACTATCCCTCATATATTCGTTCCATATTCTATCTTTTCTTGCTACTCCAATCATCCATCTAAGCATACTCATTTCCGCAACACACATACTCTGTTTTATTTTCCTGTCAACCACCCAATACTTTGAATCATGTAGCATAATTGGTCTTACTACACTTCTGTAAAATTTACCTTTCAGCTTCATTAGAATTCTTTTACCACATAAAACACCTGACACTTTTCTTAATTTCATCCAACCGCACTTAATCCTATGTTTTACTTTCATTCCAAAGACCCTATCCTTTTGTGCAAATGAACTTAAATATTTAAAGTACTGGATTTCAACTATCGCATCACCGTTTATTGGCATTGGTCACATACTCTCAACTTCTTAGTATCTTCTTCTAAAGTCATATTCTATAATATTTAGTCTATATACTCTATTTTATTTCTATTAATTCTCAATCACTTTCCTTCAAGGGAAAATGTACGTAATTAAATTATGAACTAAAAATGTATATAGATACATTAATATTAATAATATTTCATAATAAACTGTTAATTAGTCCGGTTTGAATATAAGTATTGAATATTATGAATATAATGAAACAAGAATTGAAAAAAAACACTTCATGTTTTATGACGGTTATTATGTATGTTTTATTAACTTGAAATAAAAATATAGATATTATTTTTTATTTTTTTTTATCGTGCTATTAGTCTTTTTGGATAATAAAGTCTCTATTGTAGTTTGTATAAAAGTATATGTATAGCATATTTTATTGGTTTTAATGATATTGCTTATTGATTTATGAATTATATCTGGTATGTTTAATTTATTGTGATCTTGTATTTTTAGTAATAAAAGTCATGTTTTATTTTGAGTATTGATTTTGCAACACTTTAACATAATTATACATAGATATATTTAAATATTATACATTTGGAAAATTTAATTTAATTTTATAGCGCACAATAGTAATAAATAGAATGGTTATCATTATATAGTTATGATTGTTTTTTTTTTAAATATTTAATTGTATTGTTATTTTTAATCTTCATATTTTATTACATTTTTTTATGGATATATTTTTCAAACAATTACATTTTAACATTTTTATCAATTCGATATAATATATAGTTAATACATAGTTTTGTATTGTTATACGATACATTTCAATATATCTACATATCTATTTATTATGACATGAATCTCGTTCGTTAATAGTCATATTTTTTTCTATCAGATATGTAATTTATCTATGACGACAATAGTGATAACTCAAATAATTTTTAATAATGAATATTATATAATATGTTTATAATTGTTAAAAAGAATGACCGGGAATCACTTAGACTAAAAAATGCAGGTTTAAATTAATCTATGGCCATGTAAAGGTTAATTAGCTTATGTAGGTTATCTAAATTGGCATAAACATATTAGCATAATACAATTCAAGTGTATTTTTATTTGCAAACATCAAAACGATAATACAACAAGGACAATAAAAAATTCGCAAACAATCCACTGCTGTGGCCAGATTTCTAAGATTTATGTCTAATTTATGCATGTTAAATAGATTAAACTTTATAAAGTGTTGTGTTTAATTTTAAATTTAACGCGTAGTAAAATGCTTACTATAAAAGGAAATGCTACGATTAAGTAAGCGTTTAGTAAGTAATTATAGTTACGTTCACCTATCCGTCAATTTTAATTTGTCGTTACGTTTAAAATATATTTTAAAATGCGTACTTAAACAGTTATTTATTGCAATATAATAACATAGGTTCTCGATAACTATAAAAAAAAATTAACTATCCAAAAATAAATGTGAATAACAACCTTGCTCAACGTTCTTTCATATACGCACTATTTTCTAACCGTCTAACTTTATATTAATTCAATGTCATCTGTTTATCTTAAATATATGTCATAAAAACCTCTTCATCTGTCCACGTATCACACAGTATCCATAGTTTGATGAAACATTGTATTTAATGTTTAATTCTTTGTATAAACAAGACTCTGTAGTTGATTGTCAATAATCGGCATCAGATTGACATTCACTTACATGTAATACATGTGATATTTACTCAGAAATCGAATTTTGCATAAAAATAATTACATATTAGTCTACGGAACCTTAAGTTTTTTCGAGAATTATTATTTTAAACATGTACTTTATCAAAGGTGTCTGGTGAATATAATATAACTGTAAGATAATTATTAAAAATTGGAGTGTATCTTTTTTATAAGTTTAAAAAATGCCCATTATACCTAGGTTACCTTATCGTTAAAATATGTTTGTGATAACGTTAAGATTGAGTGTGATTACAGATAGTTTAACATTGTTGTATTCAAAGTCGATACAATGCACGGTAAAGTTCTCAATGAAAAATTTTCATTTTTCTTGTGCGAATTCTATACTAAGTTGTACGTCTGCCGTTTAGTTGACGTAAGCGATAGTGTGTTGTTCAAGATTTTTGTTTACTTTGCCATTTACATTTTATCCCTTAAAAACATCTCGGGTCTGCTTATTAACCAACAATGGTTTTTACTGCCGTGACACTCAAATTCGATTAATATTTACTGTTATCTTTTAAAGCTACATGATTTCAAGTGGAACGGAAAATAAATAAAAATGCCGGTCCTCGACAACAATTATGAATTGTTGACGAACAAACTATTGAATGTCTGCTATCAACTATGATGTTGATTATACTACCTACCAACTAATATTATTATATTCATGATTTGTTAAAGGTTTGGAAATCAATAATTGAACACGGACTCTTAAACGCATATCAACTGGGATTCATAACAAATGTATGAAATGGTATACTTACCCACACAATAGTTTTTGCGATACACATTAATTGTAATTATATTATTTACTCATCTGTCATGAAAAATTTAAGTATATATACTTTGCATGACTTAATTCTTTGCATTAAGGATTTATACTTATACCACTTAAATATGATTAAAGTATAAAATGAGTACTTAATTAATTTTCAGACTTGAGTTTCAATGTAAACGTGAAAAATAATATTAATTTTTAGCAACCAGATCAAATTCAAAATTAATTTAAGTTAACATTTCACATTTGTGACGTGTTAATAAATATTGTAGAGTTATTATTTAAATTTTTTTTTTTTTAAATTTCAGAAATGTTCAATAAAGTTATAATCCATATTCGATTCAAGTAGAGAATTAAAATTGTATCGTATACATTATTGTATTAGTAACAAAAACAACAGGGGAGCAGGGTTATTTTTTGGACGAATTCAAAAAAATCATGACAATACTTTTTACATTTAAATATTAGTTATTTTAATACGATAACAATGGCTTTATCAAACAAATAGTTTGCAATGACCACTTAAAAATTTGATGATAATTTACTTATTGTTCTAGGTATTAAAGAATAAAAAGAATTATTTGCAAATCACACCTTTATTATAAAGCCGAAGAATTAAAAAAAATTACTGTTATGTAATTTTGATGTATTCACTCTCATATAAACAGCATACGTGAAAAAGTAGCTCCACTCTATGCATGTTTCTCGTTTCGTAGTGTATCGTAGTATTTCGTAATGTTTCATATAAAAGGTATACATACTATGCACGTTTCGCGTTTCGTGATTTCCGTTTCGTTCAGCTTTCAGATTACTGTTGTTAAGTACGTTTAGTTCGTGTCTTGCGGTTTGTATCTTTTGGATCCCACAAACACCGGTATTCTTAAAATTCCTCAATAAATGTCAGCACTAGTTTATCATTCCACTCGGGCGCAACGATGACAACTAATTGGAAAACTAAGTTTTTAAAATTGAAATTAAACGAAATTACGTGATTCTTCGTGATGATAATTGATAACATTTATTTACCTATATTTTATATCTAATTTAATTGATAATCTGGTGATATGAAATTCTTGTTTACGAAAACATATGCCACGTGAAACAACACGAAATCTAACGAAATTATACGAAACAATATGAATTTATTGTTTCATGTCCTTTGATTTCGTCAATTTACCGCCTCGTTCGCGAAACAGTTTTCACGAAAAAGTTTTTCGTGAAAAAGCTATACGCTATTCACGAAATTAAACGGAAATGTGAAAACACGAAACGCGAAACAAGCATAGTGTGGAGCTACTTAAAGGGTAACGGTTTTCTTAGGGGTATTTTTTTTTATTTTGATCTACTAGTGATTAACAATTAATTAACATTTAAAATTTAGTTTCACAGGATAACTAAAATCATTGGCTGCGTAATAATTTATAATAGTCGTTAACTACAGATAACAAAAAAATTATTGAATACATTGATTATTTATTTACATCACGTACATTTGAAATGCGTTGACATTTACAACATAAAATTAAATATTTTAATGCGCTGGTGTATCTTCTGGTACACCGATCGAAAATGGTAGGTACACGATTATTATTTCGAAATGATTATAATTTATCAGAAAGTAATAAACATAACATTTATACCGCGGTGATAATAATGTACACAATGGTAGTCGAAAAATCACTTAAGCAAAGAATTTTATTACCACGTTGTAAAATGTGACAATTATTTGTTTTCGACGCGATATCTAAACTATTATGATTCGTTTGGATCGTTATGAACACGAGCGGTGAAATCGTAGCAAGCTTCTGCAATGGATCCGCGTTGGTTATGAGAAAATATTATGTATTATGTGCTTCTTTTTTTCTTTTTTTTTTCATATGCGTTTATATTTTTACAGATGAATGTCTACGCGTGTTTTTGTACACATAATAACTTTTTATATCTTACTAAATGTTTTCGAGACTTACAGCGATAACTGTTCGTGAAGACCGTTCGATGTTTTGATCGTTATTAACGGCAAATCGGACGAAAGCATTGAACGGTCGTTCGTTGAAGACGTTCAACTGCTGTATTTTTCCATTGCAGTTATTATAATTTTTTACGATCGCCCGATCAGATCGAACAGATAACGCCGCGGCAACGTAGAGAGCGAATGTCTACTATCGTATTCGCGCATCGTGTGATGATTACCATGCGAGTACTATTCGGTTTGTTTACGTTTACAACCGTAAAACATACCCAAGCGCCCCGGTAAGTCGATACATTTTATAATGGTCTCGTTCCGACGGTTCATTTTAGAAAATTATTGTTCGCACATCGACACGAGTATAATATTAATGTTCCGTCATTAATCAGTATGTTTTGGACGGGCATAAATATAATAGGTACGATAGGCGAACCTATACATACTATTGTTTTTTAATTAACTGACGTAAATATGTTCTCGAAACGGGCGCTATTTATATTTTTAAAACTTCCTTTTTTTTTTTTTTTTTTTTTATAAACATTTATGTTCAACGTGGTCACGCCCGTTTTAGTTAGATAGTTTAAACG